GTCTTCTGGTCTTCTGGTCCAATAAGTAATATCTCTGTCTTATCTGAATTTAATAAGAGAACATTATTGGTCATCCAATTTTTTAACACATAGTTGAGTATCATCGGCATAACAGTGGAAATTAATCCCGTATTTTCTAATAATATTACCAATGGGCAACATGTATATTGAAAATAGCAGAGGACCTAGGACAGATCCTTGTGGCACTCCATATTTTACTGGTGATAATTGAGATGACTCCCCATTTAAATGAACAAAGTGGTAGCGATCGGACAGGTAGGATCTAAACCATCTTAAAGCCTGCCCTTGAATACCTGTATAGTTTTGTAATCTATCTATGATTATGTCATGATCTATAGTGTCGAACGCAGCACTAAGATCAAGTAAAACTAGCAATGATATGCAGCCTTGGTCTGACGCAAGAAGCAAGTCATTTGTAATTTTAACAAGTGCAGTTTCTGTGCTATGGTGGGGTCAGTAATTTAGTAACTTTCAGTAATTTAGTGCAGTGGTTCTCAAACTGGGGTACGCGTACCCCTGGGGGTATGTGAGATGAAGGTGGGGGGTACGCAAACAAAAATCTGAGTTTTGGCATTCATTTAATACCCCAACTTAAAGCAACATTAAAACCGAATATATTTCTGATAAGCAAAATGCTGCTTCTAATGTAAAAACAGGAAAATGGGGGTGCCGTAAACAGTCAAATACATGATATCCAAACAGCTTACCTAATTTTTTGCGGTCAAAACTGACTGCATCCACACAAGCAGTATGAATGTGATAGGATGGCCGCTGAATATGCTGCTTTAGCAAATCGCGCTGCTGTTCAATGTATCTTTAAAGTAGATCTTCACTTAATAGCATGAAGAGCAAATATTGACATGCACTGTACATTGAGATCGATTTAAACTCTCTTTGATACAGACACACTCTGTGTGTGTTATTGTTTTCATGTTTAAGATACGAGCGAGAATGCAAATTTACCTGAATATCCAAACGATGGCAAATGTGCCATTAATTTTTACAACAGGTAATATTAAGTGAACATTTTACATTTTAAATGTAGCCTACATTTTAAACAGAATATTGTCATGTTTGTTATATTTTGCAACGAAATAATAGTTCCAACGAAATCCATAT